ATTCTGAAATACCATTCATATCAGAATGATTGGATAAATGCATAATTCTTTCCCAAAATTGCCAATTATTAAGGTAAGGCTACAACCAATGGTGAAAACAATCCATTTGAGCGGGGCATATTTGTTTGTTTCATTTTTTTTTATTACTGTTGGCAACCTGATCAGAACACTGCTTAGGAGAATTCATCATGTCTAGGAAATTTTTATTTTAAAAACCTGTACGAGAATGCATTTCAAGTGAATATTCAATTTTTGGCACCTCTTGAGAAATATTCTTTGAGTTCTTGTGAATGGAATAGTCATTAAAACCTAAGAATTTTTAAACCCATTAGATACATACTGTGCTGTGGCTAGGCAGAGCACAGCTTAACTTAAAGCATCATCGATAACTATAGGCCTCAACGCACTGTGGTATGAAGCTTGGATTGAGATGAATTAGTAACTCCAGACAAGAACAAAGTAAATATGCCTGTTAGTTTGGGGTTTTGTTTTTGTTTTTGTTTTTGTTTTTACTTTTTATTAGAAACAATCTCAAACTTACAAAAAGTTGCAAGCACAGTACAAAAAAGATTTTTACTAAACTATTGGAGAGTAAGCTACTCCATTATCCCCAAATATTTTCCTGAGTATTTCCTGAAAAGGAGAGCCTTCTCTTCTTTTACATAACCATAATAAAACAATCAAAAATCAGGAAATTAACTTTGCTACCATCTATTTCTCACACACCATTCAAGTTTTCTCAATTTTCCCAATGATGCGCTTTATTAGAAAACAAGATAGCATAGAATCAGGCGTCAGATTTATTATCATGTCTCTTTATCTTCCTCTAGTCTGGAATAGATCCTGGAGCATTTTGCTTTTTATGATCTTGATACTTTTAAAATTTATAGGCTGGTTATTTTCTAGAAGCTCTTTCAGTTTGGGTTGGTCTGATATTCTCTCTCTCTCTCTCTTTAAAGATTTATTTATTTGAGAGAGAGAGAAAGTGGGGGAGGAGGGCAGAGGGAGAGGGAAAGAGATCCTCAAGCAAAACTCCCTGCTGAGCGAGGAACCATCTTGAGGCTTAATCCCAGGACCTCGAGATCGTGACCAGAGCCCAAATCAAGAGTTGGGAACTCAACCCACTGAGCCACGCAGGCACCCCATCATGCTCTCTCTTGATTGGATTCAGGATATGTATCCTCGGCGGGAATATCATGGAAGTAATGCTGAGTTTTCTGCATCATAACAAATGGCACATAAATTTATTTATCCCATTGCTGGTGGTATTAACTTTGATCACTTGATTAAGTTGGTGTCTGCCATAGTTCACCATGGCGGAAGGGACAATCTTCTTTGATTTGTAATCAACACGTATTTTGTGACTAAGTATTCATCAAACCTTCAATGCATTCATTTATTCTGTTATACTAATAAGGATTCATAGATTATTTCTCAATGGTAGCTAACTAGATATTTTGATGCTCAAATTGTGCTATATTTTATCAGTAGAAGCCTCTTCAAGCAGGCTTCTGTGGTCTTTTGACCTGTCCCCATCACACTTCGCGCACTTTCTTATTTCTTGACACAAGATGTTTTATGTTCATCTGTATCTTTTCTGCCCCATTCTTGGAATCAGCCCATTTCCCCAAGAACACTGGTTCTTTTTAGTGGACAATTTTATTTAAAAACTAAAATGTGAGAACTAGATATGCTCATTGCTGATCCCAGGCCCTGAGAACGAAAAGAACTAGAGAATATATAGGTACACACACACCTCAGATTTGTATCTGTTGATTTCTATACATCGTCTATTTATACATATTGAAAACAATAAATTTATATCAAAATTTCCAATTTGAATCCAACATCACAGCCTTCTCCATTTCAATATTTGTAACTCCTTTCTGTGACAGTGAGAAACCTTACTCTGATTGTCCCCAAATATGTTCTTCTTCCATTAATCCTTCCTTATGTCACTAATCCAGCTGTCCGTGGACACACAAGCCTTCCTCTCTCTACTTAAACCACCATCCAGCCCCGACAGACACTTGCCTTACTTGATGATTGACACCGTATGCCACAAACCCTCTGCAGGGGCACCCTGCTCACACTACTCAGGCTCCAACCCCAACCCCCCAGCCCTGGGACCTGTGTTCCCTTCCCCAGCTCAGACGCCTAGCTTCCTCAGCCCCACCTAATGGAAGAGAAAGGAAGGGAAGGCAAGGCAAGGAAAATAGCTTCCTGTTTACTCGAAATGCAAAAGAATGTATTTCACTACACCCTATAAAAAAATCTTACTGTCCCTCACATTATTGGGCCACTCTAATTTACTCACTTAAACATTAAGGCTTGCTTCAAAGAAGCACTAATGCTAATAATTATGTACAAAGCTAGCAAATTAGGATCAATAATCTGTGTATCTGACAAATATTTGGCTACAGCCCATAATACTGTTTAAGCGCAGAGGAAAATGAATATTTGGTGGTTATGCAGTCAAATCTAAAGTACAAACAAAATGTTTGGATGATGTAAGTCCAAGGAAAATTGGGGCATCCTACATATTTGGTAGTGACATTATGTGGAAGGAGTAACTTTCAGCTGATACAGTTGTGAAGTGTTAGGAATAAAATGCAATAAAAACAACTGATCCTGCCAGACTCTAGCCACTTACTCTGCCATACCTATATAGAAGATGGTTCATTGTTTTTCTGAAAGTTGTAATTTGGCACTCACAGCTATTAGCAATTATTTTTTTGAAGTAGCACATTTTATATGGCAGTATTATTTATAAATAGAAAACGCATCATTAGTTGATGCCAGTAGTACTTAGTCCAATCACTAAAAAACTGGAGAATTTTCTCCCAAAAAAGATGCTAGATGACTTTCCTTTTTCACGTTTTCTTTATTCTCATCAATAGTTTTCCCAGATTAAGTTTGGGTTTTTCTGTTTTTGCTTTGTTTCTGCATGTCTTACTTAACATACTGATTTCAGCAGAACCTAAACATTTACATAAGAATCCAGCTCTGATCCGTCTGGCTCTTAAGGTCTAAAGGCCAAGGACTGTGCCTACACACCAGCAAACAAACAAGGTTGAAGGAAAAACAGAATTAGCACTCTATTCTACCCTTCTATACCTTTATAGAGTTGGAGATAGATGTAGCTATCTCCACAAAGGTATACAAGGCATGGAAGGGTAGGATATAGTGTGTAGTATACAGTATAGAAAATGGAGGTAGAATACAGTATGTGTGTATATATATAAAATACAGTGTGTGTGTGTGTGTGTGTACACACTAATCCAGTCCAGTCCCAGAAATTCTTCTGTCCAGGGAGATCTAAATAGCAGGTTAGACCAAGTCCCTGTGAATACTAGCAAGAACAACTTTGAGTCATTTCTGTGCCCTGCAAAACCAGGTTCCAGGGAGCTCTCTCTTCTGGCTTTTCTTTTCACCATCTCTTCTAGGGGAAGAAACTCCCTTCCACCGCTAAGGTAGAAAGCAGCACTAGCACCCGCCGGCTGCGTCGCACTCCTGCGCCCCACCGACAGTGCAGGAAAGCGCCCGGAGGTGTAGCGACACAAGCCAGGGCGGTCCCCGGGCCAGGGCGCTTCTGATTGGCTTTTTGTTGTGAATTCAAGAGGCCTGGGCTAAGGGGCGGAAGCAAGAAGTTCACCTGGGCGACAGCGCCCCAGCTTCGCCAGGACCTCCCGGGTTTTGGCTCTCTGGCTGGCTGTGGTGATCGTGGGGGTGGGAATAGGGGATGCTGGGGAGAGTACCCCGAACTAAGCGGAGGGGGGGCATGGAGTGGGTTAGGCTGTGGTTTTCTGGGTGTTTGCCGGAGAAGCCACGCGCCCTATTAAACCCAGGGCTCCTGAAGCAGAAGGGTAGGTAACTCTGGGATTCTGTACCTTGAAAAGGTTCAGAATTGCAGGGAACGGAGGCGCCTTTCATTTTTCTTTGGGCACTCTCCCCTGGCTCCGCATTTCGTAAGGAGTCCTACTGTGGGTGTTGAAGCTGTAAAATATCCCGGTCCTACAACCCACTCAGCAGAGAGTTTCCTGCAGATTACAATCCTAGTTGGCCGGGGTGCCGGGAAAAGGGCACTGAGAGGACTGGGGAACCTGAAATTTAGTGCATTCTATCACTGTACCACAACTTTACTAGATTACATAAAGTCGATTTGGAGCGAGATATTAAAGTTAAGAAATGTATTCTGAGACAGTTATAGGGTTTTTTGTTGTTTTTTTCATTCTAACACTGATTTTAAATAGTGGGTCTCACCTAGCAATTATATATCTATGAACATGTATTACGAAAGATTTATATATACATATATGTATGCCATACATGAGAGATTTTACACGTTTGGGCACAAATGGTGGGAGCTGCGATCCGAGCTTGGAGGCAGCAAAGGGCAGGCGGGGTTTTCCCCGCCGGGAGTGCCCTCCCAGCGCCAGGCGCGTCTAGCCCCGCTCAGGTTCCAGCCAAGAGTGCGCTCCGCATCCGCTCACGCACCCCCGCGGCTGGCGCGGTGACACAACACTGGAGTCGAATTACAACCCTCAATTAACATATGAATTTGACTAACTTAAAAGAGCACAGAAAACGTGGCGGGGGGGGGGGACATTGAGCGGGAGCTTAGCCTTCCGTACGCAGGAACTTTTCTCCGGGTGTAAAAACTCTTTGATTGGCTGCTCGCACGCGCCTGCCGGCGCCCTCCATTGGCTGAGCAGACACGCGACCGGCGCGAGGAGGGGGCTGGGAGACGAGCGGGGGGGGTGGGGGGAGGGGGGGGAGACACACTGGCGCGTGCCGCTTTTTAAAGGGGCGCAGCGCCTTCAGCAACCGGAGAAGCTTCGTTGCACGCGACCTGGTGTGTGATCTCCGTGTGGGTGGGGGAGGGTCGAGGAGAAAAAAAATAAGACATTGCAGTAGAGACCCAGGAAGGGTTTTTGTTGTAGTTGAGCTGGTTTGCCAGTACCTCATCTGACTCTGCGCCTCCGAGCCTCTGAAGTGCAATGTCCCGCCTGCTGCACGCAGAGGAGTGGGCTGAAGTGAAGGAGTTGGGGGACCACCATCGCCATCCCCAGCCTCACCCCCTGCCGCAGCCGCCGCCACCACAGCCACCTGCGACCCTGCAGACGAGAGAGCATCCCGTCTACCCGGCCGAGCTGTCCCTCCTGGACAGCACCGACCCACGCGCCTGGCTGGCTCCTACTTTGCAGGGCATCTGCACGGCACGCGCCGCCCAGTACTTGCTGCATTCCCCCGAGCTGGGTGCCTCTGAGGCTGCGGCGTCCCGGGAGGAGGCGGACGGCCGGGGGAAGCTGGTGAGGAGGAGCGGCGGCGGCGGTAGCAGCAGCAAGAGTCCTGGGCCAGTGAAAGTGCGGGAACAGCTGTGCAAGCTGAAAGGCGGGGTGGTAGTGGACGAGCTGGGCTGCAGCCGCCAGCGCGCCCCTTCCAGCAAACAGGTGAACGGGGTGCAGAAGCAAAGGCGCCTGGCGGCCAACGCCAGGGAGCGACGCAGGATGCACGGGCTGAACCACGCCTTCGACCAGCTGCGCAACGTTATCCCGTCCTTCAACAACGACAAGAAGCTGTCCAAATACGAGACCTTGCAGATGGCCCAGATCTACATCAACGCCTTGTCCGAGCTGCTACAAACTCCCAGCGGCGGGGAGCAACCGCCACCGCCGCCAGCATCCTGCAAGGGCGACCACCACCACCTTCGCGCCGCCGCCCCCTACGAAGGCAGCGCGGGCACCGCGACCGCAGCGGGGACCCAGCCAGCCTCTGGAGGGGGCCAGCGGCCGACGCCGCCTGGAAGTTGCCGGACTCGCTTTTCCGCCCCGGCCTCCGCGGGAGGATACTCGGTGCAGCTGGACGCTCTGCACTTCTCGACTTTCGAGGGTAGCGCTCTGACGGCGATGATGGCGCAAAAGAACCTGTCGCCTTCCCTGCAGCCTTCCCTGCAGCCAGTGCAGGAAGAAAGTAGCAAAACTTCGCCCCGGTCCCACAGAAGCGACGGGGAGTTTTCCCCCCATTCCCATTACAGTGACTCAGATGAGGCAAGTTAGGAAGGTGACAGAAACCTGAAAACTGAGACAGAAACTAAATCGCCCTTGCCCAATGAGCGGGAAGCCCCGCGGTTAAAGATCCCCGCACCCTTTTAATTTTTGCTCTGCGATTGTCGTTGTTTAGCAACGACTTGGCTTCACATGGCAGCTATATTTGATGGCTTGCAAAAGCCGCCGCTATTTCAAACTTCCTATGGTCCATAGTGATGAAAACTTGCTGTTAAAGTTCTGGTCTTTCCTCCCACCTCCTCCCCCCGTAGATAGATAAGATATAATTCTATGTCCCCAGATATGGCATCATTATTCTAGTTCCCTTCTGCCAATACGCTGCTAAAACGTTGCATTTTCCTCTCTGTCACTGGTTTGTGTTTAATTTATTTTATGCCCTGGGCATTCATCCCTGTGTGTTGCGCGCACTCACTTGTGGGAGAATTGGTATTCCGAAGTATTTTCTCAAAATGTATCATGAAACGCAAAGTTAATGGCTCCAAAGTGAATAACTTTTGACTATGGGACGTTAGAAAACAGGGAAGTCTTAGGTTTATATACTGTATAAGCATATCCAGTATGTATGTCGGATCGCGATAATGTTGGCGTCTTTTAGGAAACTTGGCGCACGCACTTTATCAGCCGCTCCCGCTGCGGCTCCAGGACAAACTCAACTGCCAATTGCAGACCAGTTTTGTGTTGTTGTTGTTGTTGTTGTTGTTGTTTTAAACACGGCCACTTATAATCCTTAAGCTCTTTGCAAATGTTTGTTTAAAAAAATTAAAATTAAAAAAAATCCAGTAGTGTCAAAAGCATTTGGTCCATTTTATTTTGCTTTGTTAATGTTAGGAAAATTATTTATTATCGATTGTTTGCTACCATTTCTACTTATCTTGATTCATTTTTTTACGTTTTTCTACTCAAGATCATTTTATTTTAATTTAGCAAAGCCAACTGCCATTGTTTTATGTATTTTCTTTTGCAAATGATAATAATAAACGTGAAAATAACTTTATTTGTCACTTATTCCATTCTAATATAAGCATTAAAAAGTTTTGAAATGACCTCGAAGACTTGAACTTAGTCTTCTATTAAATGCGAATCTAAGAGTTTTGAAGGAAAAAAATCTGTCATAAACATTGTAGCTTCAAGCAGTACCGATGATCAAGTCAGTAAATAAGTTGTTGGGTAAAAATTTCTCCGAATTTGCAACCATTTTGCCTCTTCGATAGCCTGGATCTTTCCAGTCTTCCTCACTCCTGGCCCCAACAACCTCTTCAAAAGGAGGCACCTGTTTCAGGTCTCCTAAGAGCTCACCAGGAGTAGAGAACTTTACCAGGGTTACCTATTCTCACTTCGTAAAAACTTTAACCAAGTTGAAGACTTTTGCCATGGGTCAAAAGCACACAGCACAAGCTTTCTCAATTTCTCTCTCTCTCTCTCTCTCTCTCTCTCTCTCCCCTTTCCTTCCTCCCTCTCTTTCCTTCATTGGTGGGTGGGGCGGGGGCGATAGGGGTAAGTTGAAGGCAGGAATGAAAAAGATAACAATGGAAAAAACTTGAGGGGAAAGGAGATGGGGTTCCTTGATTCAAAAATTAGAAGCCCTAGGAAATTGTTGAGCTCCCCCCCTTTTTTCCCCCAAACAATTCTGCTTATTCCACTAAAGACGATAACATTTGCTTTTATTTTGTCTTTCTGAATTAGTTCCTAGGTAGAAAATATTTATATTTTTGAGTCAGCTGCAGAAACTAAAGAGTACGCCCACTCTCACCTCCGGGTCCTCACCAAGGAAAAGCCTATTCTGGGTGTTAGGATCAAAGATTTTGAAAAAGCTATATAGTGCGTGTGTGGAGACAGTAGAGAGGAATTTAAAAAATGTATTCGGCAAACGTGAGAGTAAAACTATTTGTTAAACTAAAGATTGGGTGAAGTTCCACTGGATAAACATCGCTGAATTTGAGAAGTTGATTTTAAGCCATATCTTTTATATTTTGTGTCTTCATTAGGATAACAAATTGTGAGAACAAGAAAGCAGGGGTGGGCGGAGGGAGAGCCAGAGAAAGTTAATTTAATCGCCCCAGCATCATCCTTTCCCTCCAGCACCTTGAAAAGAGGAGAGCGCCAGGTTTGCAGTAAAGTAATGTGCGAAGGAGCGCAGTTCTGGTCTTGAGTAGGGCACTGTGGAACCAGCTCTTGACTGACCACCTGGGTTTCCACGGCTTTCAGCTGAAACCGAAGCTTGAGGGAAGCCAAGAGAGAGACTCCACCAGCTCTGAGAGGTGAGCGGTTGCTCCCGACACTTTCCAGGGGCAGAAACAACGCACCTGTCCCTTAGATAACCTTTTGCACCGCTGAGTTTGCCGTGCTCACGATAAACATCAGGAATCTTCAGGCTGCTGAATAAATCAAGCGATTGCTTCTAACACGTGTCCATTCTGCTCTCAGTAAGTAAACTCAACAGGCATGGACACACCGCAACTTTGCAAGATGAGCACACACATATTTTCATAGTTATTTGGCTCGGTGTGTTTGTATACATGTTTAGAGGGAGAGAGAGAAGACGACCTAGAATTATTTTACCTGTTATGAATCTGAGCTGGGTAAGGGCAGGATGGAAAAAAAATTAAAGTTGTGATCCTTTTTTTCTCAAAGTGACCTATATTTCATTTTTCAAAACCATTTATGCTCATTTTGTGTTGACCGGGGAGGGGGGGAACAACCTCTTCCAAAGTTATTATTTTTCTTTTCATGGACTTATAGGAATTTCAAAACAGAAATGACATTAACAACATCTTCCTTCCCATCTTTTATGAATGAGGGAACTTCGGTCCCTAGCTGGCCCCAAAATCACACAATCACAAAGTGTCAATATCCAGACTGGATCTAACTACTCCCGTCCACTAGGTCAATGTGGCCAAGATTTTTTTCTCTAAGAAAATCCATGGAAAGGAGTTACAGCTAGGCAAATGTGCAGTGTTTTCTCCTCAACCACAAAAATAGATATTTATGTTTTTAAATGTTAGGGGCATCATACTTGAATCAGAAATGATGCAAACTTCATTTAAGGAAGTCATTTTGCATTTCTTCTCAAGAGAAAGCCACAACAGAATATCAGATTGGAAATTCTGTATCACACTGATTGAAAAGTGAGGGTGAATTCTTCTAACTCATCAAGACATGCACAAAAAAAGCCAAATGACTTTGTCTAAATTAAGTGCTCAAAGTTCAAATGAGGACTTTAACCTCTTTTCTTTCCTTCATTCTATTTCTTTCTTTTTATGGTGGCATTTCATTGAAAGAGATGTACAATCACATTTCCATCTTAGGGTTCTGCTATGGAGTTTGCATAACAAACGTTTGGCAGCCCGCTCTCTTACACTCCATTAACAAGCTGTAACATATAGCTGCAGGTTGCTATAATCTCATTAATATTTTGGAAACTTGAATATTGAGTATTTCTGAGCGCTCATTCCCCATATGCCAGACCACTCCTGCCATGCTGACTGGTTCCTTTCTCTCCATTATTAGCAATTAGCTTCTACCTTCCAAAGTCAGATCCAAGTATCCAAGATACTAGCAAAGGAATCAACTATGTGTGCAAGTTAAGCATGCTTAATATCACCCAAACAAACAAAGAGGCAGCATTTCTTAAAGTAATGAAGATAGATAAATCGGGTTAGTCTTTTGCGACACTGCTTGGTGCTTTCTAGAGTTTTATGTACTTTAAACAGCTTGTTTTCTATCCTGTCTCTGCCTTCTATCCCACCACTTTTATTCGTGAAGGGTTTTGGTTCACCACCCTTCGGGAAACTTACTTGATTTCACAGAAAGCTGAAGAAAGATTATTCTTGGCAACTGGCAACTTTAAACATGTTCTCTATGGGACATTGTTAACTGGGGGTCCAGCGTAACAAGAAAAAAAAGGGGGGGGAGTTAAATTTCCTTAACCTTAACTAATGCAGGACCAATGCTTTCATTAGGCCTTTCAATTGATTTTTAGAGCTTGAAACCTGAACGAAGCGATATCTGGGAATCATTTCTCTCCTCTCTTCATTTGAGAGTTCAAGAAAGAGATGATCAGCTTCGTCATGGCAGTTTCAAACCCCAGTCAGAATTGGAAACGGAAATCGGGCGACCTGCTTGTCAACCGCCATCTAGACCTGTCCATTGCAATCTGGAAAACCCAGCAAGTACTGCTGGTGAGAGTTAAAGATGACCTCTAGCAGTGAAATTATTTGCAATTTGTTTTGTGGGAAGGGATGGGAGATTTGAAGGAGAGGGGGGACGGTGGGCATGTAATAAAGGTGTAAGTTTCCTCGCTGGTTTTGACTCTACTCTCACCAGCCACCCTCACCGCTGGGCCGAGCAGAGAGTCCCAGACGCCCGCCTCTGAGGTAGCTTCCCTTCCTCTAGGCCTCTAGCAAGACTAGGCGACCGGAGCGGAGAATGGGTTAAATCCTGGGACGCGGGGGCAGAGGCAGGGGAGGAGAGTCGTCGGGGGAAGATAAAGAAAAGGACAGGAACCAAGAAGCGTGGGGGTGGTTTGCCGTAATGTGAGTGTTTCTTAATTAGAGAGCGGTTGACAATAGAGGGGCTGGCAGAGGCTCCTGGCCGCGGTGCGGAGCGTCTGGAGCGGGGCACGCGCTGTCAGCTGGTGAGCGCACTCTCCTTTCAGGCAGCTCCCCGGGGAGCTGCGCGGCCACATTTAACACCATCATCACCCCTCCCCGGCCTCCTCAACCTCGGCCTTCTCCCGGTCGACAGCCTTCTTCGGCCCCCCACCGGCAGAACTCACAGAAGCGAGCGACTCTCGCCGCCTTCCGTGGCTGGCCGGGGCCCCTCTCCTCCCCCAGCTTCGCCGCGGGAGCCGCCACTGCCCAGTGCACCTCCCAGCAACCGGCCCGGCAAGAAAAGAAGCGGCGCAAAGGAAAAGCCAAGCTCTGCCAAGGGGAGGGGAAGCTGGAGGAGGCGGCGGCGGGAGAGCTGCGGGCTTGTCCCGGAAAAGTTGGGCT